AGTGCCATAAAACAATCTTCTCCACAGATCTGCATGCATCATCTGTCCTGCTGACTTGGTGTCCTGGGACAGTACTTGGGGCTCACTGAGATTTCAAAGAATTCAAGTGGAGAAAAACTTCAGTCATAACCACTCCAAACACATTTTTTTCTGTTTTCTCCCATCCTAACAGTTATGACTCTGTTTATGTTACCCACGAGTCCCTGACACTGTTTACTTTTTAAACCTCTTTCCTTGGCATGCTTCTCTTTACACGGTTCTATTGGTTCTTATGTGTCTTTAAGTTCCATAATATTTTCTACTTCGGGCTCTAATCTACTCTTAATCCCAATCAATTTCTTTGTCATCTTTGCAATTGCATACGTATATATTTCTAGCCCTAGAATTTAATTTAGTTCCGTATTGTATCTTCCCTTTGTCTCTTATCACGGTCATCTGGGTTAGCATTCAAGAAGAAAAGGAACAGTCCATCCTAGTTTCTGGGGTCTGCGTAACTCTTGCTGAAAGATCTATATACCTAGCTTACGTTCTTTCAGAAGCGTGAAAGCTGAGGTTCTTATAGATCAAAAATAGACACACATTTCCAAATTTAATTTCCTGGTATTTATGTTTTCTGAGCAGGCTACTCTCATGTCATATATTTCCTCCTATGGGCAGTGATTTGTTAGTCTTTAGAATATATTTATTAGTATTGAAATAGCTCTTGTGAACAGCGGCTGTTGCTCTCCGTGGATTCCTTTGTCGTAAAGAAAGACGATACAACGTTTTGAGTGTGATGTGTTTACTCAGGACTGATGTAAGATCCATTGACCCCAGATGGGAACATGAGACAGAGATAGAAAAACAGCCCACAAATAGGTTTGTTTTCAAATAAGTTTGCTCTCTGGGTACCAGGAGTTTAATCCCATCCAAGACCTGCAGGAGGCCCCTTGCAGCGTGGACCTTAAAGTCCTCAGACCCAAAGTGTACTGACAAGGGGTCACCTAAGGCACATTGATGTCTGCTCCTATGACGTTCATTCCTTAACCTTTCTGCCCTGCTCTACGAATGGGACAAGCGACTTTCAGGAGCCAGCAGAAGCTCCCAGAAAATGAGTTATTCTTTTTTTTTTTTTTTAAATGTATTTGGTATAGGGCCTACAGGGTGTTCAGCTTCTCATTACGTAGATCGGACTCATAGAGATCCTTAGTCACGGTCTGCGCGCCCCGGCGGTGGGGCCAGTACGGCACGCCAGTACGGCACGTTTTATATTCTTTCCTCCCGCTGCGCTCCGCCTAAGCAGGCGCTAAATGTGTTGTTCTTAGTCAAAATGTTACAGGTATCCAGCACCCCGGGAACAGCGAGGACGGAGCCGCAGACCGCATCTGCCCACCCCCACGCGTCTCTGCTTCCAGGTGCTGTGCGCCATCACCGCGGCGCTGCTGCATTACCTCTACCTGGCCGCCTTCGCCTGGATGCTCCTGGAGGGGCTGCACCTGTTCCTCACCGTCAGGAACCTCCGGGTGGCCAACTACACCAGTGCGAGCAGATTCAAGAAGAGGTTCATGTACCCTCTGGGCTACGGCATCCCAGCCGCGACCGTCGCTGTGTGCGCAGCAGTCGGACACAAATACTATGGAACGAGTACTCAGTAAGCATGATGTGTCTCCGCGGTGGAAACTGTACCTGTAGCCCATGCACGCTTGCAAATGTTCATTTTATTTATTTATTTAGTAATGTATTTAGTACAGGGTCTGACTACACAGATCGGACTTGTAGTGATCCTCCGGTCACTACCAAGCGCTGGGATTACAGGCATGCGCCACCACAACCAGTCTCATTCGCCATCTCAGCACACCCTGGGGACAGGGCCAGCACAGCAGGTCGGGGATCGAACCCCTGGCCCCTGCGTCTGCCTAAGCAGGCACTTTAATCCGCTAAGCTATTTGGCCAGCCCGTCATACGTGCATTTTAAAATTCATTTTCTAATTGTGAATTAGCCTTTAAGCCTGTCTTTCGTTAAACCAGAATACCGTTTCCTTTTGGAAAGCTCTAGAAGGATGACGGTTCTCTGCTTTCAGGGAGTCGATTTGGGGGGCAAACCAGAGCTCTTTCCCCTAAACAAATACACATACACCAAACATTTGAAATCAAACTTCAGGAAATTCAGGGGCAGATGGAGCAAATCCAAGGTCCCACATGAAGAAGTTGTGGGATACACCATGTGTATCTATGTTATAGCTACATTTCTGTAGGATTGGGGTAGAATGTATCGATGTTTGCATCCCCCAAAGCACAGAGAATAACAACAACAGCTGCTGAAAGGCTGCCAGGCATCAAAAATAACGCGCTGTGTGTGAAGTGGCCCTGTCCCCCTCACCAGGACCCTGTCAAGTCAGTGGTTTGTCACACTGCATGCAGGACACACGTGGCTTAGGGCGCTTCACGTGCAGTACTTTTCCAAGGTCAGGGTTTAAAAGAGAGGAAATGAAACCCCCCAAGGCCGAACATTTTTGTCTTTTCATTGGTCCACGTTCACAGTATATGCTGGTGGGACCTGGGTAAGGCTAGGACTCCTGCCAGGTAGGTTTAACTGCCACTCTCAAGAAGATTGAAAAACTCTGCCCTTAACAGTTACGGTAAGAAGTTAAGGGTTTGGTCATTATGCTTGGGTCAGGAGTTGGTTGCCCACGTGCTACTGTCGCCTCTAATCTTGCCCCTCTCAAAGTCAGATTGCCAGCCTCTGACTTGAACCCTGTGAGCATCCAGAATGATCCTGGGGATGGAATGATAGGGAGAATGAAGAGTTGGCAGACTCTATAAGAGACCAGGTTGTAACTATTTGGAGTTTATGCAGGCCATGGGGCCTCCCTATCCCCTTTATCAGGGGAAAGAAATCCCTGACAATATGTGAATGAATGTGTATGGCTGTGTTTCAATAAAACTTTATTTTTTCAAACAAATGGTAGCTTACATCTGGATCATGGCCCATAGTTTGCAAGCCTTGAAACAGAACTAAAATGTGGAATCTTCTCAGCCCTCTAAGTGTGGGCCATGTCTGGCCATTTTTGGTTTTTGCCAGATTCATATTGCCAAGTTCGTTGCCTTTTAGAATAAGTTTTACCACCTTTGACAATGTCAGATGACAGAATTCAAAGGGTTTGAGTGACAGAGTACTGTGTCCATAATGTCCTCATTTAGCATTTTATGCCTGTTGTTCAATTATTGTTTTTATATTCTTTCTCATTATAGCAATCATTCTCATCATGACTATATCTATGGAGGTTTAATTCTTTCACAAGAACTGTCCCCCCCCAAAAAAAAAAAATATATATATATGGTCTCATTTAATCTTTGCTCAAAATTCTGTATGAGGAAAACCACACAAGTCCAATAAAGTCAATGAAGGTAGAAATAAGTGTAGAGTTACTATACATTCATAGAGAAGGAGATTCAATAGTGGCTTGAGGCTAGTTCATCCCGACTTGATCTATACCTGTGACATAGTCCCAATCCAAATCCCAGAAAATTATTTTGCGGATATTGACCAAATGAGTCTCTAGAGGAAATGAAAAGACAATATATATTGAGGAATAAAAACTTCAAAACATCGACATGACAGTACCTGACCTCAAGATTTAATGTATAGCTCCCATAACCACTAAATGTTTCCAATACGTAGGTTCATCTCATGTTTCAGGAAACTGAGGCAGAGAACATACTACTAGGACTGACAAAATAGCTCAGCAGATTAAGTGCCTGCATAGGCAAGTGCATGGACGAGGGTTCAATCCCTGGTACCACATGCCACGCCAGCCCCAGCCCCGGTAGCGCTGAGCCGGCCACCGAGACTGGGCATGGTGGTGCACACCTGTCATCCCAGCGCTAGGGAGGCTGGAAACAGGAGGATCACTACAAGTTTGAGCTATGTCGTGAGACCCTATCCATTAAAAAAAAAAAAAAAAAAAGACATACTGCTTATGTCAGAGGTGGAGTCTATGGAAAGCCCGGATTCCCAGCACACAGCTCTTGCACCGTGCCGATCTTCTGAGAAAATGTCTCCTCGAGCTCTCTTCTTTCTCTGGAGGAAGAGGCAGCTAATGCTTGTCTTCTCTCACAGCTGCTGGCTCACAGTCGATAAAGGCTTCATCTGGAGCTTCCTGGGCCCAGTGGCCGTCATCATCTCGGTGGGTGCTGGCTGGTTGTGTACGCGCCTGCGCTTGGTCAACCTAGCATGGAGAGGGCGCCTCCTATCTGCTAAAGTGGAGATGAGATAAGGAACAACAGCTCAGCGTCACCAAGGGATCTTCTGGGAAATACTACGTTCGCTTCCCCTTGCATGGCTGCCCCCAGCCCCTAGTCGCTGTGCTGTAAGCCTCTGCTGCGTAAAGCACTACATTCATTCATTCACTCACTGAATACATATTTAATGGGCATTTACTCTGCACAGAGTGGTATGCTCTCCTGTTTTCTACGAACTTCCTGATTACATCTGCTGCCTACCATGCTTAATAGCAACTTTCTACGTTCAAAGTGTTCTGGTTGAACGACTTTTTTTTATTAGTACTGATTTGCAGTGCATAATGATGATGTTCCTCATGAGCAGTGGGTACACATACATAATACATCTTAATTCTCTTTCTATCCCTGTGCCTTCCCTCTTTTCTCTCCATCTCTTGGTTCCCTACCTCTGGCAAAGATTTATTCTTTTGTTTTCTATTCTTTCATTTTGTATTTAGGCTTGTGTGTCTGGCTTACTACACTTAACATTAGACTTCAAAGTGGAAGCCTAATCAAGTAACCAGCCTAGTATCCCAATGAAGTCTTTGAGGACAAGAATTTTTTTTTAATTTTATTTATGTATTTATGTGTGTATGTGTGTGTGTGTGGCCAGCTCAGCCCACCAGGGGGCGGCCCTGGCTGGCATGTGGTGCTGGGGGATTGAACCGCGGTCCCTGATGCTTTGCTAAGCTTGTTCTAAGTAGGTGCTTTAGACCACTGAGCCATCTCTCCAGCCCTCTAAGTCATTTTTTATGCTGTCCCACAGATAAACTTTGTGTTCTATTTCCAAGTTCTGTGGATTTTGAGAAGCAAACTTTCCTCCCTCAATAAAGAAGTCTCTACCATTCAGGACACCAGGTAAGAAGGCATCAGAGTCATTGATACTCAAGGATTTTTTTTTTTTTTTTTTTTTCTCCTTGAATGCCTTCAGGGCACTTTTGGCTGGCTGGAGTGTCGTGGGGATCGAACTACAGCAACTTGAGGCTGACAGCTTTGTGGAAACAGCCACTTAAAGAACTGAGCTAGGGCCAGGCCCCCCATTGATACTCAAGGATTTGTCCTATGGGACCATTCTCCTTGAGGAAGAAAACTTCGAGGCAAAAATATGAATTAGAACTGTGATGTAGCTCAGGGTAGAGTGCTTGCCCAGCATGTGTGAGGCCCTGAATTCCGTCCTTATAACCCCTCCCCCGGGGGGGGGGGGAGGTACAAATCCTCCTGATGCGAAAGAGCACTTGAGACGCAACTTATAAAAGAAATACAACTATGAATTCCGGGCAACTTAATGCAGTCCTTCTTCCTTTAGTTAAGAAAAATTTATTGAATACCTCCTTTGGATACCATGCTCTTGATGTGATTTGATTTTTTTTTTTTTTGCTCCAAACGCCTTCAGGGCAGGTTTGGCTGGCTTGAGTTGTGGGGATCAAACCACAGCAACCTGAGCCTGACTGCTTTGTTGAAGCAGCCACTTAAAGAACTGAGCTAACGAGCACTTTTAGCTAAAGGGCAGGCCCCCTTGATGTGAAATTAACATCAGCAGTATTACATTACCCCTCATCTTTTTTTTTTTAGATAAACCTTTTACTTTATTTATTTTTTGGGGGGAACTGGGGATTGAACTCAGGCTCTTGTGCTTGCCAGGAAGACATTTATTCTACTGAGCCATCTCCCCGGCCCCTACCCCTCATCTTTGAGACTTATACTCTTCTGGACTCCATTCTTCTTGATGTTAGAAATTTGATTCTCATTGGCCTCAATCTAAAATGTTTAGTGCTGGGGCTGGTGAGATGGCTCAGTGGTCTAAAGCACCTACTTAGAACAAGTTTAGCAAAGCACAGGGACCGCAGTTCAATCCCCAGCACCACATGCCAGCCAGCCCCGCCCCCTGGTGGGCTGAGATGGCCACACACACACATAAATAAATAAATAAAATTTAAAAAATAAAATAAAATAAAATGTTTAGTGCTGGTCCCACCCCTGGAGCATGCTGAGACATCATCGACAATTGAGACTGGGTGTGGTGGCGTGCACCTGTAATCCCAGCTCTTGGGAGGCTGTAAACAGGCGGATCACTATGAGTCTGATCTAGTAGTGAGATCCTGAACACCCTGTAGACCCTTCCCTAAAATACAAACAATAATAATAGTAATAATTAATAATGACAATTAAAATGTTTAAAATAATAATGGTGACATCAAATACTAATTACAAAATTGATACAAGCTACCCCCTGACAAATGTTACTGTGTGAAACACTTATAGTTCCACCCTATGAAGTGTAGGGTGCTGTATCTATTGAAAATATGTATCAAGTTAACTCTTGGCTCATCTTAGCCAAGACTAGATGAGTATCTTCTATTGGTTAGCTGTGTGGAGATAAGTGAAAGGAATATCTGCCCATCTTCTCACCGTGACTTGGGTCAGACTTTCATTTGGTTATGAGACCAATAAAACATCACCTGACCTCCATTTCCTTCCTCTGGGAGCTTGAGAGTCGCCCCAGCCCCCCACACATGAGCGTGGAAGTGAAAGTTCATGAACACACACCCATGCACACACTCACAGGCATCACCTCACCCAAATAACTATCAGCCACGACCCTGCTCCATTATAGAAAACACAATTTTCATTCAAAGAAACCCAGTGCTGCTGTGCTCTGAAATCATGACACCACCACCATCCGAACTTTTCAACATGAATTTCTAGAAGACATTTTCTATCCAGGTTCCAGTAAGTCCAGGTAGAAGCCTTGGCAGGCAAATCATTTCTAAGGCAGATAAATCATCTCTAAAGGATAAATCATTTTATCATTCTGAGAATGATTTTTTTAAAAAAATCATCCTCAGCAGCCATGATGGAGAGCATGAGTCCTGCTTCTCCTTCAGCTGTATGAGCTGGTATGTGTCACCGCCCATGCGAGGTAGTTGTGGTGGTTGAATAAGGTAACACACAGAAAGCATTTAGTTAGCACCAGTCTTCGCTAAATACCTACAGAAAACGTGGTGAACAATAGTTAATATTGCTCTCTTTTCCCCAGAGTCATGACATTCAAAGCCATTGCTCAGTTCTTCATCCTGGGCTGTTCCTGGGGTCTTGGTTTTTTCATGGTTGAAGGACTGGGGGACACAGTTGAGTCAGTCATGGCCTACCTGTTCACCATTGTCAACGTCCTGCAGGGGGTTCTGCTCTTTGTGGCGCACTGTCTTCTTAACCGCCAGGTAAGATGAGCACATTATACCATCAGGAAGGTTAGCATGACTCGGTTGACCTTCCTGTCTCCCCAGCCTACCTACTGAATGACTATTCACAATCTCACCTCTCCTTGGCCTTTTCTACTCATGCCTGGGGTTGACTTTTGCTCGAGAACACTGTCCAGATAGTGCTAGGTGATGCCACATTATCTGCTCAGAGTTCTAATGTTTTTTGTGGAACCGGGGATTGAACTCAAGCCCCTGCACTTGCCAGGCAAGCGCTTATTCCCCTGAGCCATCTCCCCAGCCCAGTTCTAATGTATCTCTTAAGCACATGTATCAAATGAGCATGGTGGTGCACATGTGGCATGCCAGCACTCTGGGAGGCCGAGGCAGGAGGACAGCCAGTTCAAGCCCAGCTAGGACAGTGCAGGGACTCAATGAGATCCTGCATCCTGAAGGCGTTGAGGGCATCGCTCAGCGCAGTGCTCCCTGGTAAATATCCAGGACTTCTGAAAAAGAGCGTGTATCCATAGCACAAGGTAGATATGGCGCCTTAACAAATAGTCCTTTCCTACTGGCCCTCCAACCTCAGGGGCTCGCAGTGAAGGCTTTTTTCCTTTGTAGCTCCTACTACATAGCTGTGCTTTGATCAAAACTGTCTGCACTCAGGGATTCAGGCTGAAGGTGTGGCCTCCCATCTCGAAATTCCATGGGACCCAGCTAGTCCCCATCTAGGTAGCCGCCCAAAAAAGTTGAAGATATCATACTACAGGGACACGTCCGCACCCATCTTTATCACAGCACAGTCCATAACAGCTAATCCCAGAAGAAGCCTGTGTCTGTCAGCACATGAATGAGTACGGAAATGTGGTACCGACACACAATGGAGCCCTTCTGCTGTAAAGGAGGACAGACTTGAGCTGCTTGTAGGAAAATGGAGACGCCCTGAGACCATGATGTTAGGTGAAATAAACCAGACAGACAAGCTTAAAGATCACCTGGTTTCCCTGATATGAGAAACCCAAAATATAAACAAAGATATCTCAATAAATCATAGATGATAGGAAACAGGGAAATAGATCTTTTCAAAAGGGAAGTGAAGCAAACGATGGAGGAAGAGGCTGAAAAAAAGAACTGAGGGCCAGGGAGATAGCTTGGTAGCCTAAGCGCCTGGCTGGCAAGCGCAAGGGCCCAAGTTCGGTCACCAGTACTGCAGGCCGTGCTGACTCTGTACCGAGCAGGCCCTGAAACTGGGCGTGGTGGTGCGCACCTGTAATCCCAGCGCTGGGGAGGGAGGCTGAGACAGGAGGATCACTGTGAATCCCAGCTGCATAGTGAGAACCTGTACCAAATAAATAAATGATTAAAAATAAAACAAAAAGAATTGAGATGTATTACTTGCATGGATATTATGTGCTGCAAACATGTGCTAATAAAAAATTAAAATTTCTAAATAAATAAGTGAAATGTTGGCAATCTCATGGGCAAAGAGGAAAGATCACCACAAAACATGGTTTAGCACACAGCTCGGTTTTCTTAATGCTTCTGCCTAGCAACAGCGCACCTTGGTTGGACTCTGATTTCTTCTGTTAAAGCAAACCACGTGCTCAGACCTGAGTTCCCCAGGGACAGCCCGAATCACCCTCTGGCAGCAAGACAGACCCACTTACGGAGCTGCTGAAACATTCGGTGCACTGTACCAACAGCTTCGAGAGCCTTCCTCACTAATCACAGGCCTGCCACTAAGCAGGCTGCTATGTGACCTTGAGCTGCTGTGTGACCTTGGGCGTGAGGACTCAGAGCCCATCCTCTCAAATGCAGGGACGGCAACGCCTCCAGCCCAGAGCTGAGTTACCTACAGCTATGCAATATAAAGCTCGCAGTCTCTGCTCTCTGTAGAAAACTGAAACCGACTCTCGGCCATTTTTCTTTGCTTGTCAGTGGAGTTAGCAGTTAAGAGTCTGGTGGCAAAGTGATTGCCTTAACACCAATAGTTTCTTTTTTCCGTCTTTCAGTGTCTTCTTTTTGCTTGGTTCTCCTTGCAGAAGAAATGCCCATAACTTAGAAGTCTTAGCAAAGTAGTATAGATCATTATACCTTTAAATGTCTTTTTTTTTTTTTTTTTTTTTTTTTTTTTTTTGGTATCAGGGATTGAACTCTGGACTCTGTGCTTGCCAGACAAGCACTTATTCTACTGATCTATCTCCCTGGCCTCTAAATGTCATTCTTTTTTTATTTGTGTGTGTGTGGCCAGTTCAGCCCACCAGGGGGCAGAGCTGGCTGGCATGTGGTGCTGGGGGATTGAACCATGGTCCCTGTGCTTTGCTTTGCTTAGCTTAGCTTGTTCTAAGTAGGTGCTTTAGATCACTGAGCCATCTCACCAGCCCCTAAATGTCATTCTTAAAATGTCAAAAAGAAAAGCAAGTCAATTCACAAACTATCAGGGGCATCTTAGTGTAAAGGTCATACTAGGAGTATTCAGTAAGAAAGGCAGGGTTTGGAGTGCCTCTCTATGGCCTTGGACCAATCAGTTTATTTCCAGAGCCTCAATTTCTACAACTCTAGTTGGAGGTAAAAAAGAGTACTTTTCTTTAAACCTATTTGGTTCAGGGTCTCACTATGTAGCTCAGACTCACAGTGATCTTCCTATTTTCAGCCTCCCAGCCCTGGGGTTACAGGTGTGCGCCACCACGCCCGGTCTTGGTGGCCACTCAGTGCACCTGGGGGTGGGGCTGGTGTGGCATGCGGTGCCAGGGATCGAACCCTGGTCCTTGCTCTTGCCTAAGCAGGTGCTTAGTTCTCTGAGCTATCTTGTCAGCTCAGAGGAAAGTATTTTCATCACTGAGTTGATGTAAAGATTAAATGCCATATTTCATACAAAATGTATCACACAAAGTGACACCCTTACCCCCATCACCATATATGAGGTCTGGCTGGGGGTTTTGTTGGGCTTTTTTTGTTGTTGTTTCTTTCTTTTTTTTAGCGGAACCGAGGATTGAACTCAGGCCCGTGTGCTTGCCAGGGAAGCACTTATTCCACTGAGCCATCTCCCCAGCTCTGACTGGGGCTTGACATCAATACTAGTTGTTGTTGTTGCTGCTGTTGTTATTGTTGTTGTTTTATAATGGAGGTATTTGGTTTCAATAAAAAAAGAATCTACATGAGTATGGCCAGTATTATACAGAAAATCCAAGAGAGAGAGGTAGAAGGTAGGGCTTGGAGCTCTACCATTAATCTTTCATTCTAGGGTCTATTCTCTCAAGCCAAACTCTGGAGATAACATGGGTTTCTGTATTTCTCAAATTTTCAGGTGCGAATGGAATACAAGAAGTGGTTTAGCGGGATACAGAAAGGTGTTGGGGCTGACAGTACCGATGTGTCTCGCTCTACTACCCACTCCAGAATGGTAAGATGAGCACCTCGGGATGGCTTTTCTTGGCCCACATCTCATGCAACCAGCAGCTTCCTGGTTCCTTGGTCTAAAAGAACAGGTTTGGGCAAACCCCATGCAGGGTTTGGTTATGAGGCCAAGCCCAAAGACTCTCTCTGTCCCTGTCCCTGTCTCTGTCTCTCTGTCTGTCTCTGTCTCTCTCTGTGTCTCTGTGACTCACTCTGTCTCTCTCTCTCTCTGTTTCTGTCTCTATCTCCCTGTCTCTGTTTCTGTCTCTTTGTCTCGATCTCTGTCTTGCTCTCTTCCTGTCTCTGTCTGTCTCTGTCTCTCTCTTTTTCTATCTCTCTGTCTCTATCTCTGCCTCTCTCTCTCTGTCTCTCTGTCTCTCTCTGACTCTTTCCCTCTCTCCATCATTTTCTTCCTTTTTCTTTCTTTCTATCATTTCCTTTTGACAGAAATTAAAGGTGTGCCCCCTTCTTTCTCTCTTCCTTTCTTTTTCCCTAAACATGCAGGAGATGTTTAACAAAAGTGTTTACTTCACAACACTCACCTACGGCACGTTCAGTGTGCGCTGCCTGCCTCCGCGGCACGGGCGCTGGGGTAACTGCGGAGGGCACACTGCCCAGGCCCTGACCGCACAGAGTTGACCTTCTAGCCTGGGGGAGTGTTAGCTAAGAAACCAAGAGAGGATTGGACGGTACACAAGGCGATACACACTACAGAAAATAGAAGCAAGCAGTGTAGACTGATCCAGCATGTGCATGTGTCATCGTCTCCCTAGTGTGAGAAACTGAAGGAGGAACTAGAATCCAAAGGGCACAGGAGATGCTGTGAAAGGGAAAGGAACTGCTCAGGACTAGAGAACAATGGAGATGGGGAAAGGAGAAAAGGAGGAGGGAAATATACATACGTCACACGCTAGCTAAGGTAATGGTACTACCAATTTCTATTGTTCATTGCAAGAAACTGTCAGCGTTGATACTGTTTAATCAGTCTTACATGCCTACGTCTGGTACTCTGTTATCCTCAACTACTTTTTTTTTTTTTTTTTTGGTAGAACTGGGGATTTAACTCAGGCCCTTGCGCTTGCCAGGCAAGCGCTTATTCTACTGAGCCATCTCCCCGGGCCCTCAACTACTTTGAAGATAACAGTATATAATAAAATCATCACTGCTAATTTCCTGTCCTCTTGTTTTGAAATTCTGTGTCTTTTATTATTATTATTCTTTTAAAAAGAAATTTAAAGAGTGAGTGACAAGGAGAGATTCAGTTTCAAATAAGGCGCTGTCTGAAACGCCACTCGTTGGGAGGCTCGGAGGCTCTCTGTGGTCTCTGGGCTCTTGTCAGGAAGTTATTGAGAGGTTGAAGGCCTGAGCGGCCCTTAGGCACTTCGGTGGTGGCAGGTCATCCCTGAGCAGGCTTGTCCTCTGTGCGTGGGACTATTACTAGCAACAGGAGCTTCATTTTGTTTGCTTTTAGTACTAGGGATTGAACTCAGGACCTTGCACTTGCCAGGCAGGAACTTATGCCACTGAGCTATGTCCTCAACCCCAAGAGCTTCATTTTAGACATTTGGCTTCTTTTAATTAATTAATTAATTAATTAATTGGTACAGAGTCTTGCTACACAGCTCAGATTCGTAGCAATCCTCCTGTCTCAGCCTCCCCGGCACTGGGATTACAGGCATGCGCTACCATGCCCCAGGATTCCAGGGGCAGCACAGCATGTGGTACCAGGTACAGAACCTGGGTCTTTGTGCTTGCCAGGCAGGCACTTAGGCCACTGAGCTATCTCCCCAGTCTGGACATGTGGCTTCTAAGCCAGGATTTCTGCCAGATCCCATAACTCTGGTGGCCTTTCCTCCTCACACCTGAGCTGTCCCCACAGGGCCTTCCTTGTGTTGAGTCCACTGCAGTTAGAGGTGAAGGCAGACTGGAGCCCACATGATTTATTGAGAAACAGAAGAAAAAGAGGGAGAAAAGGTAACTAATGAAGGGTCCAGCTAGACGCTGTCCTCCACAAGATCTTGTGGAAAGCTCCGAGGGAGCCAGGGAGATAGCTCTGCAGCCTGCATGGCAAGCACAAGAACTGGGGTTTGATCCTCAGTGTTCCAGGCTCACCATGCCAGCCCCAAAACCTGGCATGGTGGCACACGCTTGTAATCCCAGTGCTAGGTAGGCTGAGACAGGAAGATCACTACCAGTTGTGTGGCGAGACCCTGTACCAAATAAATAAAATGATTAATTAAGTAATTACAAAAAGAAAGCTCTGAGATGTGAATGCCACCACCACACAGGGCCATCTTCATGCAAGTGAGTGGTCTTCCGTGCCCTGGGTCATTCAGTGATTGGCTCTAGGATCTCTCCTGAAGCCTAGGGCTTAAGCTTCAAGAGATGCAACTCCTCTGACACAGGGAAGTCCTTCAGAGAGGAAGGCAGAGGTAAGCCATGAGCAGGTAACACAGCGGCTGCGCAGGAGTCACGTGTCTGGCACCCACACCCACTGCAAAGGCTAGAGAGGCAGACCCTGGAACTCTGTGTGAGGGCTTCCCTGGAAGGCTGCGTGAGAAAGCACATTAATGAGAATGGGTGTGACATTTCGGTATGTGCATACAGTGGGCACCGGTCCCATCCCTGCTTCTTTTGTCCACCATGGATGACCCTTCCCCACCACTAATAAACATGGTCCTACATTCAGATGGACAGTGGGGGAACCGCATAACCGAGAAAGCACAGGTGACATGCATCCACTGTGTCTCACTGAACAATGGCCTCCAGTTTCATCCATTTGCTGCAAATGACAGATTTTAATGCTTCTTTAGGACTGAATAGTACTCCATTTTGTATACTGATAACCTTTTCTTTCTCTATTCATCTGTTCCCGGGTGTGTAGGCTGACTTGGAACCTTTGCCAAAATGAACGGAGCTGCAGTGAATATGGCCCTGAAGGTAACTGACAGTAAATACTTGTGAAAAGCTAACACAATTTTTCAAGATGGCATTTGGGACGGTACCAGAGGATTCAGATATTAGGGTGTCTTCCTGAGGTGTTTTAGCAAAGTTAGATGCCTCGGCTAATTTATCTTTCTTTTTTTTAAACTTTTTTTTTAATTTTTATTTATTGATTTGTGTGTGTGTGTGTGTGTGTGTGTGTGTGTGTGTGTGGCCAGCTCAGCCCACCAGGGGGCAGGGCTGGCTGGCATGTGGTGCTGAGGGATTGAACCGCGGTCTCTGTGCTTTGCTAAGCTTGTTCTAAGTAGGTGCTTTTGACCACTGAGCCATCTCAGCAGCCCTAATTTCTCTTTTTCCCATGATCTCCCTCTCACCCTCGCAGCAGGAGCCAAGGAAATCATCACACAGCCCACTGAAGGACCTTCCGTCATCCCACTCCTGGTCGTCTCTGCTTCGTAGCCCAGGACTGAAAAACCGATGTGGGCATCCACGGTATCTCCCTGTGGTCACACAGGGACTGGCCTCACCATTTCCACCTTTTCTGTGACTCATAAAGACCTGTCGCTTTGGCTATTTTTAAAATAATTTTATTATCATTAGTAACACATTAATTGTAAAAAGGAATGGGTTTTCCTGCGGCATTTCCATACCTGTTTTGTGCTTTGACCATCTCAACTGCCACTCCCACCCTCCCTTGTCTTCCCTTCTCTTCCCCTCCACCAAGGATGTCTTCCCGGTCCCTAACAGTCCCTCTTGTATTTTTAGAGCATATTTATTTTCCTGTCTCCATATATGAGCAAAGTCATATGATACCTGCCATTGTATCTCTGGCTTATTTTGCTTAATATGGTATCCTTCAATATGATATATACAGGACCAGAGAGATCGCTAAGTAGAATAGGCACTTGCCTGGAAAGCATAAGGGCCTGAGTTCAAGCCCTGGTTCTGGGAAAAAAAAAAAAAAAAAAAAAAAAAAAAAAAAAATATATATATATATATATATATATATATAATGTATATGTGAGATTTGCTTTGTCCATTTATCTATTGACAAGTACTTAGGCTGAATTCATATACTGATTATTGCAAATAGAGCTGCAATAAATGTGGATGTACAGGTATTTGAACTGTGTGCTGGACTCGCTTTAATTGCATAAATGTAAGGAATGGCATACCTGGCTAATGTGGTACTTCTACGCTTAGCTTTTTGTAACAGGTTTTATAATGTTCCCCATAGGAATATGCTAACTTATATTTTAAATTTTTTTAATTTTCATTTTTATTGGCACATGCTTGAGGTACATAATTTACATTTTTAAATTTTCCTGAGTAGAGGTTTCCCTTCCTCGTGGGAGCTGGGACACGTGCACAGCACAGCTGGATTACTTTCCACCCCTTCCCTTCCCTCCCACCCTCTCTCTCTATCTCTTGGTTCCAGCCCCTTTTGGAAAAGATACGTCTCCCTGTTTCCTCTTATCTTTCATTTTACTCTATAATTTATTGATATTTGGGCTGGGGAATGTAGCTCCATGGCACAGCACCTGCCTGGCAAGCACAAGGCCCTGAGTTCAATTCCCAGTACCCCCCGCAAAAAAAAATTATGATATTCTGGGTTTCTCATATATGAAAACCCATGTGATATTTAAGCTCATGTATTAAATATATAAACATATGAAGAAGTAGTATATATTCTAGATATTACTCCTCTGCCCAAAGAGTAGGAAACATTTTTTCCATTCGGTAGGTTACATCGTCACTCTGGGGGCTAATTCCTCTGCTGTACAGAGCTCTTTAATCTGATATAATCCCAGTCACTGACTCTTGGGTCTCCACCAGGTGAACAAGAAGACCCACACCGAAAATGATAAACTGGGGTCACCTATAGGCAAGTGGAGGTGCTGCAAGACCATCATGTTAAGTGAGGTAAATCAGACACACAAAGGGGCCAGTGAGATAGCTCAGTGGTCTGAAGCACCTGCTTAGGCAAGCTTAGCCAAACACAAGCACTGCAATTCGATCCCTGGCACCACATGTCGCACCAGCCCCGCTGGCTGCCGGGGCAGGCTGAGCTGGCCACACACACACATTAAAAAAAAAAAAAATCAGACACACAAGCTTAAATTTATCACATAATGTCTCTTATATGAGAACCCAAAATAGAAACAAAGAGCCAAATAAAAGATAAACAGTAGGAAGGTGGCTCTTCCTTAAAGGAGAATGTAATTAAAAGATGGAGAGAGAGTGAGAGAAGGGACGAAAGGAGAGCTAAGATGGGTCGTAGGCCTGCACCACGTCCACACAAGGAGTGTAAGCATCATGCAAACACTGCAAACGTGGACCAATAAAGAAAACTATCCAGAAAAAAAAATGCTGAAAAAAAATGCTTTTTAAATGATACAAGAAATCTAATCATCACTGTGTGGAAGAATGAATCTAGACGCAGCTGTCTCACCCTTTGCAGATATAAAATAAAAATGGATCAGAAACCTAGATATAGGGCCAGGGAGATAGCTCAGCAGCTTAAGCACCTACCTGGCAAGCACAGGTCCTGAGTTCCATCCCTGGTACCAAAACACACACACACACACACACACACACACACACACACACAGATTCCAACTTTTTTTACCCATTCAGAGTAGATATCTAGGACCTCACAACAGCAACAGACACTGGAAAGTCCTTCTACATTGTTAGCAGGAATGTAAAGCATTCCCAACACTATGGAAATCAGAACTGAGTTTCCTCAAAACACTCAACAGAGAAATCCCATTTGACTCAGGTGCGCCTCTCCTATGTACGTTACCAAAAGGCTGTCACCGTGTCGCAGTAGTAGGTGCACCCCATGTTTAAAGCAACACAATTTATAACCGCTGAATCACAGACACAGCCTAGATTCTCATCAATAGATAAGCAGATAGAGAAAAATTTATACACATGCACAGTGGTCTATTAATGTCATAAACAAGGGTAACTTGGTACTATTTGTAGGAAAACATCTTAATTTATAATTTAAATAAGCCAGACACTAAATCTTAAATATCTCATGATTTTCTTATATGAGGAACCCAAAACATAAACAACTTTTTCAAACAAAATATAAAACACAAGAGTGATCATACAGAAGAGAGACAGACTTTTTGGAGGTGGAAAGCGGACAAGCAGAAGGCGGATGAACATAGTATGGAAAGAAATGGGGTTCAGAAGCGACGGAGAAAATGCATGTTAGGGCCTGGGGAGATAACTCAGTAGAATAAGTGCTTGCCTGGCAAGCGCAGGGTCCTGAGTCCAATCCTCAGTACCGCAAAAAAATAAAAAGAAAATGCATGTTGCCAGCCCCATCCCCGGGGTGCACTGAGACAGCAATTGAGGTTGGGCGTGGTGGCGCAAGCCTGTAATCCCAGCGCCTGGGAGGCTGAACACAGGCGGATCACTATGAGTCTGATCTACATAGTGGGACCCTGTAGATCCTGTCCTAAAAAATACAAAAAGAAAATGCGCATGAGTGAGTTGCATATAGGAGCACCAAAGGCTCCTATATGGGAAGGGGCAGGCGGCTCCTGGAGCGCCGGCATTTTCCCCCTGGTCACTGGATCAGGGAGGGTCATCAGTTATTGCACAGGCAGTGTGGAGTGCAGTCCCTGAAGCAGAGGTAGAGAGCCCTATGCCACACAGTTGGGGTGGAGCTACGGCTGCCACTAGGGTGGAAAAATCACTTTCTCTGGAAAAATGAACTCATCAGAATTTAGGATAAATGTCACCAGCCTCAGCCTACCAGGTGGTATAAACCTGGAATGCCAGCACTCTGATAAGCCAAAGCAAGAAGATCACAAATTAGACCCCAGTTGGAACAACTTAGGGAGACCCGTTCTCAAATTAAAAAAAAAAAAAAAAAAAAATTAAGATGCTGAGGATATAGCTCAGTTCAGAGGCCCTGAGTTTGATCCCTAATAATAGAACAACAAAAGTGCCCCTAGCCTTATCAGGACCCCATCAAACATCGCAACCCAAATTTACACCACCGTCACCATCTCTTCCAGCCCCTGCATAACCGTCACCATTTCTGTCACATTTACCCTCAAAACTGCCACTGCCAGCAGGGTCACCACACCACCAGCGTGGCCCCCGGCACTGTCATCTCACCGTCACCATCACCAACACTGTCACCATCACCCCACCGCCACCTGCTGCTGTCACACCCACCAACGGCCAGCACGGCCACTGCAATCATCTGAATTCGCCTTTCCTCCTCCTCATTATTGTTGTCACTGTTATTACGGGCTTACTGCTAAAACTGCGTGAAATCTAGAATCACAGTCAAATAAAAACAAATTTAGAGGTTCCAGTGAGATAGCTCAGCAGACTTAAGCACCTGCTTAGGCAAGCACAGGGAGGGGGGCTCGATCCTCAGTGCCATGTGCTAAGCTGGCCCCGCCCCCAGGGGCACTGAGCCAGCCACTGAGACTGGGCATGGTGGCACACGCCTGTAATCCCAGCGCTGGGGAGGCTGAAAACAGGAGAATCACTACGAGTATGAGAGACCCTGTACCAAATGATTTTTTAAAAAAGATCTGCAATATTATGTGATAGTTTTATCCTGCTGTACAACCCATATTTTACTTTAATGTTACATCAATATAGCTACCCGTGCTAAATTTTATTCTTTTAAATGTATTTGGCTGTTACAGGGTCTCACTGCACAGCTGGGATTTGTGGTGATCCTCTGGCTTTCAGCCTCCCCAGCGCTGGGATTACAGGCGTGTGACATTACACCCAGACTCTGGCCGCCTCAGCCTGCCCTGGGGATGGGACTGGTGCGGCACGTGGTGCCGGGGATGGAACCGCGGTCCCCGCGCTTGCCGAAGCAGGCGCTTTAGTCTGCTGAGCTATCTCACTGGCCACCCATGCTCAATGTTAATGCAATACCATTTTGCTCTGTGATATTAAATGACCAGCCCCACACATTTAAATGCTTTGCATGAATGTGTTATGAAACTGTTTCCGTCAAACGACAAAATCACATCTTGGTCTGGGCCTAGAGTACCTGAGTGGTTCAAGAAATTTTCAAAGCACGTTCTCTCTGCTAATGAGCAGCAGACATTTTATCTTAAATGCTAATTGCCACTTCCATCCCATCAGGATCATGCTTTTTAAGGTTTAAGGTGATAGTCATGTGTAAACACTTCTGTTTTCTAACCTTTAAAAATCTCATTTAGATGTCAGGAATTCCTCTATTTCTCCTTTAGGAATGAATTTTTTAATATGAAAGAACTTCATTTGGTTCAAAATGCAAAAGCAGTGATGGGAGGCAGCGTCCACCCAGGCTTCTAACCACCCATTTATGACACAACTGATGTCGGGCGCTGCTTATGGATCTGCCAGGATGCCGAGACTGAACACACATACGTAAATGCGATGCGTCTGTAGCTTCATCACGTGTGATTTTGTTTTGGTTGGTTGTTTTGTCTTTGTGAGACAGGGTCTCACTATGCAGCTCAGGCTGGCCTTGAGCTCTTTTTTTTTTTTTTTTTTTTTTTAGAACCGGGGATTGAACTCAGGCCCTTGCACTTGCCAGGGAAGCGCTTATTCCACTGAGCCATCTCCCCGGCCCCTTGAGCTCATTTTGTAGCCCAGGCTGGTCTGACACTCCCAACGATGGCCCTGCCTCACTAGCCTCCCAAGTGCTGGAGTTACAGGCATGCACCACCACGCCCAGCTTAATGTGTGACTTTGTATGTGTATATAATACACATAAATCATACATGGATACAATACTAACATCTTACACATAAGTCATATATAGATACAACTTAATACAATACTAATATTTTGCAGTTATATAAAAATGTACATACATTTTCCTAACTATGCCATGCTCAAATTCTTTACCAACTGCCCTTTTTTGCACAAATGTCG